GATAGATAGATAGATAGATAGATAGATAGATAGATAGATAGATAGATTGATTGATTGATTGATTGATTGATTGATTGATGATTAACTGACTCATTGATGGGTTGGTTGATTTGTCTATTGATTGATTGATTAATTAATTGATAGGCAGATTTGTTGATTGACCGATTCGCTGATTTGCGTATAAATTGATTGATGGTTGGTTGATTTATTTATTGATAAATTCACTGACAGATTTTTTTATTATTTGAGTGAGTGATGGACTCATTGATAAGTCTTCGCCTTCAGCTTTGATTTTTCCTCTCAAAGTGTCCCTGAATGCAACACGTGGAAACTCTGAGGACAGAAGCAGCTCCTACTTCTACTCTTCACCCTCTCTGAGGCTGAGCCCTCCACTCTCCAAAGGAAACCATCTGCATCCATATTTATTACAGTTAGTTCCAGTTCAGAATGAATTAGAGGCCTTAAAACTCTGTAACACACAAACATTAGCAGGACAACAGGAACTGACGCGGCCGATGAGGACGTTCTGTAATTTGGGGACGTCTGAATGTAACCAGTGTTTTTCCATTACGCTCTGTAGGGCGGTTCCTGTTTTACTGCTGGTTATCACACTGCATACGAATGAGGGGGCAGGTCCCCTATTAGAGCCTCAGTTTTAGACAAAAACGACCAGCCAATGCCCCCCTGCTGGTGGAAAGTGGTCAGTGTCTGGATATTAAAGTGGAAAACTGGTGGATAACAGCATCCGACTTCATCCAAAGCCTCAAAACTTTAAACTTTGTCCATTTATGTTAACTAAAAGGAGTATCTGTATCAGACTGACACTAATAGACCAGCGAGAACTTCCTCTTTAGCTACGCATTCACACTTTATGTGCAAAGACGGAAGTAACAGTTGTTTTTTTTCAAATGACTGTTTTCTCAAACTTTAAACGTTATTGACTGTAACCTGTGTGAGTGTCTCAGTTTGATATAAAGTGACGGCTTGTGAGTTAAAGTGTGTGTTTGGACCTTTGCTGAGCACACATAGGAACACAGTAATGAACCCAAACAGCCTCTGACAACCAGGAAGAGCTGCTCACTGAGTCAGAGGAGGAGCCCGACGCCTTCCTCTGGCCCTGACCTCACTTCCTCTTTCTGCCGTGTTTGCTGAAACGGGGAGCTGGTTGTGTAGAAGTGGAGCGGGAGGAAATGGCTGCTCTGAGGTCTCTGAGCTTCTGCCTGCTGGCTGTGGGCCTCCTGATGCCGGCTCCTGCTTCCACAGGTGAGTTTACCTGGAGCTACCTGTAAAAACACTCTGCAGCTGCTTCACTTCCTGCTGGAAACTCTCCGTTTGTTTGTAGCTGATCAGAGTTTGTTGGAAACGTGTTTCTGTTTGGGCTCAGACTGAATATCCAGAGGATCTGAGCCTCTGAGGTCCAGGTCAGATCAGGGGGGGGGGGGTTCTGGTGTGTCCTCCTCTGGTTCTGCTGTGGAGGTGCAAAGCTCCACTCTGAGCTCTTTAACTTCTCTGCTCTGTGTTGTTTCCTCTCTGCAGTACAGAGAATCACAACTGAAGCTGGACAGGACTCAGTCACTCTGCCATGTAGAGCTGGAAAGGAGAAAAAGACCAGAGTTGTGAGGTGGAGCAGAGATGATCTGAGTCCAGATGCTGTTCTTTACTACAGAGATGGTCACTTTCATCCAGATTACCAGCATCCATCCTTCAGGAACCGGGTGGATCTGCAGGACAGACAGATGAAGGATGGAGACCCGTCTCTGATTCTGAAGAACGTGACGATAAATGATACAGGAAGATATGTGTGTAGAGTCACTCAGGGAGGAAGAAACAGGAGGAAGAGAGCTCTTCCAGAAAATATCTCCATCATCCATCTTGACGTTTTTCCTCCAGGTGAGTGTGTGTGCGTGGGTGAGAACGTTCACCCAGCTGCCAATCAATCAATCAATCAATCGATCAATCAATCAATCAATCAATCAA